CAGGAGTGATAAAGACATATTTGCAACTTAGAGTAATCACTATGGGCAGAGTGAAATCACTGTGCTGGAGGGAAGGAGGAGCTGAACAGAGCAGGGGGAAAGAGACCAGTTAGAAGGTTTGAGATGAGGTCCAGGAATCAAACCTCAGTTGACTATGTGGGAATCCAATAACATAACTATTTAGGCCATCTGCTGGTCCCAGAAAAAAAGTTTTTAATTGACAGAAAGATAAACTAATATTAGTGCACTACTATTAATAAATCTATAGACTTGATTCATATTTCACCAGTTATTCTGAAAATATCCTTTTTATATTCCTGGATACTATACAGAATATCACACTACATGTAATCATGTCTTCTCTACTCTGTGACAGTTCTCGGCCTTGACAATTTTTCCTGATTTGACCATTTTGAGTCATGGTCAGATATTACTAGAATGTTCTTCATTTTAGGCTTATCTGATATTTCTTTGATGATAAGATCAGAGTTACTTGTCAAGGAGAAAGACCACAGAAGAGAAGTAGCCTCTTCATTGCATCTTACTAGTAACACATGCTAGCAGCATGACTTATCACTGGTGACGTTAACTATAATTACTTGGTTAAGGTGGTGTTGGCCCCAATTCCTCACTGTAAAGTCATTATTTTGCCTTTCTATGCTGTTATTTTCAGCTTGCATCCAAGGTCATTCTCCACCTCCTGGAGTAGGAAATATCTATGATCCATAAATTATTTGGAATTCCTCTGTAATGGAGATTTGTCCCTTCTCTCCCATTTATCTAATCATTCAAATATTTATATCAGTTTGAACTTATGATTATTGTTTCACTCCATTAGGACTGCTACAACAAAATGCTATGAAGTACTTAAAAACAAGAAACATTGATTTTTTATGATTCTGGAGGCTGGAGAGTTTAAGATCATGATACTGGTGGATGTTGTGTCTGGTGAGGACCTACTTCCTGGTTCATCATTGACCATCCTTTCACTGTGTCCTACCACACTGGAACCAAGTGAGGAAGCTCTCTGGGTCCCCTTTTATAAGTACACTAACCTCGTTCATGAGGGATTCACACTCAGGATCTTATTGCCACCCAACAGCCTCACTCTGATACCTTGACAATGGGGATTCAGTTTAAACATATGAATTTTGAAAGGACTCGAACTTTCTGCCACAATATTTATTTTACACTTTGGGCTATAATTCAATATCATGTTATTTATTTTGTTGTTCAAAATCCACATGTAGCCATTGGGAACTCTTTAGGGTTGACTCCTGTTCCCTTGGGCGTGCCCACAACATTTTGTCTGTGAAAACTTCCTTACTCTCTGGTTCTGCAGGATACTACAAATTCCTCCTGTAAAATCCCTTTCTTTGCCCTAGAACCAGTATTTTTCTGAGGAATCTTAGTTCCTTTTGTTGGAGAATGATATTTAGCAATCAAGATTGCATCTACACTCAGTTTTGAAACTATTTTGTTTTTCCATTGCTTAGTTTGTATTCTTAGAGCAGACCACAAAGGTCATCATCCTATCTTGTTGTTCTTGTCCCAAGAGCAGTTTTGTGACTTGTGAAGTTATCTAAAAATACAAATTTCTGGTCCCAACTGTTGAGTATGGTGCCTCTATAAGTCTGTAGTTGGGCACTGCGCTGGTGCTTTGGTATTGGGTCTTGTGGCAATGTACTTATAAAATTTTGTTATGAAAAACAGTTCAAGGGACCAGCAGTTGGTGTCATGGCTATGTCACTGGACTCCCACGTAGTCTATCGCAGTTCAGGTCCAGGATCCGGTGGCTTAAACTCACACTGGGCGTGTGTACATGCATCCCCAAGATCCTGAGAGGAGAATGGAAGAGAAGGGATTGCGGCATGGTCATTCCTCCTGGAGGGTGATTTCTTGCTTTCTGTCTCTCTATCTCTCTCTGTCTTTCTGGCGAGCACATGTGCCCTATAGCAAAAAACTTAAAAAAAAAAAAAAAAAAAACAGTTCAGGAATTACTGGGTATACAATCAAGTCCTCCGCTTCACAGTGGAGCAGAATGAAGTCCAGAGAATGAAGTGCATGTCCAAAGACACAGAAAATGAAGCTGTTCTTCACCTCAAGTAAATCAGTTATTTCCCATACTTATGCTCTCGGTGTGTGTTTACTTGAACCCTTTAAGTCAGTGTTTTTTAACCTGAGCTCTTTCTGGGCAGCTTCCAAAATCCATATGCTCAGACCCTATTCTCAGAAATTCTGACTTAAATGGTCAGAGGTGATACCTTGTAACTGTTTTTCTCAGAGCCTTACTAATGATTCAGTGAGCAGCCAGGATTGAGGACTACTGCTTTAAGCGAACAAACTCAGAATTGCCCATTATGTTTTCTTTCTTCTGATGTTTCTGAGTGGCATTTAATTTATATAATTTTTTTTTTGAGAGGTTTTGGGGCACATGCGCTCACCAGGCAGAGAGTGACAGAAAGAGAGAAAGCAAGATATCACCCCCCAAGGGGGATGGCCATCACCACAATCCCTTCTCCTCCATTCTCCTCTCAGGTACTTGGGCACGCACTCACATGCATCCGGCGTGAGTCTAAGCCACCAGGTCCAGGACTTGAACCATGGTCGACTACATGGGAGTCCAGCAACATAGCCATTACACCAATTGTTGGTCCCTTATATCATATAGTCTGACAGCTGAAGCTCATCAAAGTAATCTGACCAACATGTTTAGCATTCATGCTTAACATGGTGCTAGCCTCTGGAGAGAGAGAGATTAGGGATATGAATCACAGTGTCTTCCATCCCAAAAGTTTTCATTTTTTTTTTCAAGTTTAGTAGAGGAGCATTGGTCTGGATACAAATTAGCAGAATGACCAGTGGAGACAGATGAGTGATGAGGAATATAAAGTGCCAGGGTGGAAAATGGGGATTCAAAGAAATTAGAAATATTGACTTTGAATAAATCATCTTGTTTCCTGGCTGAAGCAAATAGTGCCTTCCTTCTGAGACTTTATTATCTTCCATGGGTGGCCTGTGCCAAAGTTGTTCCTCTTTAGGGAACCCAGAATCATATTAGTTTGTGTGAAAAGTTCATTAGAATCACGTGATAGTTAACATGATTATGGCCCAATTCTTGATTAAGCTCCCTTAAGCAAGAGTCTAGGCAAACCATGTTAACAATGAATCCAGCTGCAGGAAAACTTATGTTATTTTTAGGCATCTTGACTGAAAATTGCTTTGTCCCATCACTGGGCAATGCTTTTATTACTGTTTTTACTGCTGGCAAATTAGATTGCCTGTTGTAGAAATTATGCATAACTGCACCATTTTTAATATTTTCTACTGTAATCATTTCTGTAATTATGATACAGAAGCCACTGCTGCAAGCTGTTCTGTGGATGACTTTTTTCTGAGTTCTAATGATGATATCTACTAAAATGCTGTCCACAAAAGCCTTGCTAGCAGGTGCCTCCCTCGTGATGTGAGACAGATAAGCTTTATCAGATGTTGTTAATGAGCTAGATTTATGTTAGTCTTTCAACCTGACACATTATTTGGGATTTTAGGCATTAGATTCCAGCCTTTAGTATGTTCTAACCCCAACCCTTGGGGAAAGAAAGAAGCCTGTTAGAATTTGAAACCAATAGACATTGTAAAGTAATATTGTTCACATACCATATTTTCTTGTAAAAATAAACTCCTAAGAGCAATGTCAAGTCATGTAATACATACCAAAAGCAAGACACATGAAGCTGTTAATTGAATAAAGGCTAATCATTAATCAGGGAGTGGCTTCCACATTAGCTCTGGTAGTTCCCTAAAATGCCACCATTAATGGGCCCACCACCAGGTTTTACAAAGTGAGGTGAAGCCTCACCCTGAAGCTGTCACTTCCCTGGGTGAGATCATAGTTCGTCATCACTTCCTATCCTGCCAGACTCAGACTATTACCAGAAACGAATATGTACATGTGTGAAGCACATCCCCTAACAAATTAAACCCAAACAAAAGTTAGACGTATATGAAGAGAGCAGTGACCCCCCCGCCCAGTAGTGCGACTTGTGGGGTCTCTACATGTTTCCTATTTCCCAAGTCTGTCCATCATCAACTAAGTACTATGGCATCTTAAGTTCTGCTTTTGAGCTTTGGGGGAAAACTTTGGTCTTTCAATGTTTCTGTTATAAAATTCAAATATCATGGGAGACTAACACATTAAGTTCTCATAGGTCATATAATTGCATTGTCCTAAAGGGACAATTTGGCCAAAGTGGAATGGGAAACTTCTAGCCATAATGAATTCCTCTACACTATGAGGGAGAGGCTAGAATGTTAACAGGAATTCAGGTATTCGACTGCTAAATGGCATATACGTGCCTTCTGCCTCTGAGTTGTTTTGCTCCAACTTTACTGAGGTATAATTGACAATCAAAAATTGTATATATTTAATGTGAACACCCATTGATTTGATATACATATGCATCGTGAAATGAGAAAGATTACTACAATCAAGTTAATTAATGGCACCTTTCAGTTACCTCTTTTGTATATGTGATGAGAACACTTAAGATCTACTCTCTCAGCAAATTTTAAGTATATAATACAGTATTATTACATTACAGGTATCATTTCACAGGGCAAGGAGCCTCTAAGGACCTTCTTTCTTACCTAGAAAATATACTACTTGAATTTCCCCATTCTCCTTAACCTTCATAATTCAACCCTTATTTATTGCTAGAAAGAGCAAAGTAGGCTAATCCCAGGGGTCTTCAAAAAGCTCATGGAAAATGCATGTTATTAAAAAGGTATTCATTGATTCCATACACTTTTGGCACCAAAATAAACTTGTGCTTTTATTTTACTTTTCCACAAACTTGTTGAAGTCCCTTTGGATGTAGGAAAGGATGCCAGAATATAAAAAAAAAGAGAGAGAGAAAAAAATCCCTGAAGAAATGCTTGCCTCCCTTCCTAAAGGAGATGTTGGTCTGGCTTTTTTTTTTTTTTTTTTTTTTTGGTAGATAGTAGTTCACTAGGGAACATGAGAGCTAGCGGCTGGTCAGCTATAGAATCCTTTAAGCTCAAAGGACGTTTTCCCCAAGTATCAGATCAGAAGCATGTTCGATCTCTTGGGAACAATTTGTACAACCTTACCTGTTCGGTAAGCTCGGCAGGTGTCATGCTATATGTCTCTGACAGCGTCTAAAATCCTTTAGATGAGACAGAAACAGCACTGGCCACAGGGCAGCCACATCCTGGCAAGTCCTACTGAAGCTTGACAAACTTTTGGAACTTTCATCCACCCTTCTTGCTTCCTCCTTTTTTCCTCTAGTTCCTCTTTCATCATATTCTGAACAGTGACCTGCAACTCAGTTTCTGATCTTTTCTGCTGTTTTCTCCACCTCATTTTCTGTTTCTATCTTCTCTTCTATATCCGTATCTATCAACTCTCTGAGAAGTAGTTTGTGATGCAGAAATGAATATTTTTTCCTTCATAAATATTAAGCATGAGATTAAACCTAACCTCCTTGATATAGTTAAAGGAAAATATATTTTAAATAAGATGCCATTTCCACCTCATTCTAGTATTTTTCTCTGCATCTGCAACTTTTCTTCCTCCCCTTTCAGCTTTGTGAAATGTTGATGAGGGTATTGACCCCACAAAAAGTAGAGATAATTGGGGGAATTCATGTAAGCATTCACCTTTAAATTTTCATTTGTGAGCACCCTGTTTATTAAGAAAAGCGACATTCTTCTGACTCTCTTGATTTTGTATCACTAATCAGTTTTCTCTCTGCCTATCCATAACTAGCTAAAAATGTTTCATGAGTTAGATCACTTTAACAATTACATCATTTGAACACTGTCACCTAGGTAATGAAATAATTACCATAGCAACAGAGCCTTTATCTTTCTGTAGCTACAGAATTTTGACAGATGGGAAAGACTGATTGAAGATTTAAGCAGTACCTAAATGTAACACTTCTTAGTGGCCAAAGTCAAAGTACTAGCATACCAATAGTTACCTTTTCACAAAGATTAAATTGAATGTGACATGTATGTATTGTTATTTATTTCCAAAGTTAATTTTGCTTTTGACCAAAAACATATTTTCTTCTTTGGAAAATTGAGAATAGATTATTAAATGCAGGAATATTAATGGTGGGAATGTTTTAAAATTATAATATTTTAAGCAAAGAATAAAAATAAGACTATTATAAAGTAATTGTTCTTATTAAATTGACAAAATTAAGTTGATACATCTATAGTTTCCTCAACTATAACCAGTAACTGCTGACAAAGGTAAATACATTCTCCATCATTTTTAACTTTATAATTTTAAGTTTTCAATTGACTTAAGTTTTGGATGTGTGTCTGTGTCAACACTTTTCTTGTGTGTATGAGGTTTCTATGTTTTTCCATAGATAAGCAAGGTAAAGTCAATGTGCATTATTTGGATTACATGCAACCATGTTGATAGTTTGAATTCTACACCTAATTAAGGGAAGAAGGTTAAAAAGATCATTTACGTATTTCTTATGCTTCTATCAAAAAATAAAATATAACATAGATAATCAATGTAGTTCCTAATTCATAATTCACTCATTTCTGAGGAAGTTATTATTTAGTAGAAGAAATGGGCCCAGTAAATTGTCTTTTAATGAACCTAAGCTTCCACAAGTATAACAGTTTCATAGTAAAAGATGCAAAGCATATTAGGGCAGAGGTTTGAATAAAAATAGAATATTTGTTTAATAATAATATGGTCTTTGGACTTTCCAGGAACTAAAGAATAAGTTTATTAATAAAATTATCCAAGGCTTAAAAAGAATCATTTCTACTAGTAAATAGTATGCATATGTACATTTTCATATATTCAGTTTCTATAGAATGCATTTTTTTTTTTTGGAGAGGTTTTTTTCTATAGAGTGTGTGCGCTCTCCAGAAAGACAGAGAGACAGAAAGCGAGAAATCACCCCCAGGGGTGGATGGCCACACCACAATCCCTTCTCCTCTATTCTCCTCTCGGGATCTTGGGCACGCACACACATGTGCCCAGAGTGAGTTTAACCCACCGGATCCAGAACTCGAACCGTGGTCAACTACATGGGAGTCCAGCGACATAGCCATTACACCAACTGATGATCCCTAGAATGCATTTTACAATATTCAGTCAAAACCTTAAAAAAAATAGTAGAAGTATATATTAATTTGACGATATTTATAAACAGCACTTGCTATGTGTAAGTGTTGCATCCCCACAAATTTATGCTGTAACTTGACCCTCAGTGGGACAGGGTTGGGATGTGGAGCCTAGTGGGAGATTTTTGGGACTTGGGCATGGATCCCTCATGAATAATTAGTATAGTTTCCTGGAGGGAGAGTGCTCTCACTGTCTCCTGGAAGAGCAGGCTATTACAAAAGCTAGTGGGCCGCCCACAGCTGCCTCTGCCTCTCCACTTTCCTTGCAGCTTTTCTCGGCCATGTCTTAATGTAGAAACAGAAGCCAGCCAGATGCTGGCCACACGCCTTTAAACTCTTCAAATACCTTTGGGCTTTTCCTCCAGAATCATAAACCAAACAAAATACTTCCCTTAAAAATCACTTGATGGGGACCAGCTGTTAGTGTAATGGCTATGTCGCTGACTTCCATGTAGTCAACCGTGGTTTGAGTCCTGGACCCGGTGGGTTAAATTCACGCCGGGCACGCGTGAATGCGTGCATGTCCATGATCTAAGGAGGAGAATGGAAGAGAAGGGATTGTGGCGTGGCCATCCCCCCAGGGGGTGATTTCTTCCTTGCTTTCTGTCTCTCTCTCTTTCTGGTGAGTGCACGTGCCCTATAGCAAAAATCTCTCAGAAAAAAAAAAAAAAGAAAATCACTCTGTCTCAAGTATTTCTGTTATGACAACCCAAAGAAAGCATTCATTCCTGTAATATTTTTTTGGTTGATTTTCACCAACTCACTGAAAGCGATGTAGCAATGTGAAGGTTGACTACTTTATCGAGATTTTCCTATGATTTAAACCCAAGCAGAGGACACAAATCTAATCTACATACCTATTCTTAAATAGAGAAATGACAAGATCTAGTCCTCGGTCATAGCCAAAGGTGTACACAAGTCACAAAAGGCATGAATAAGTCTGGTATCTACCTTTATTTTTTAACCTATAAAACTGAGAGCAGATTCGTTCGAGTTTATTATAATGCAATTACCTTGAGGAATAATGTAGTGTGTGTGTGTGTGTGTGTGTGTGTGTGTGTGTGATTTGTCAGAGGCATTTTTACTTCTCTGGCAATCTTTCCAAATTGAATTATAACTTCTATCTACTCAAGCAAGTAAATTAAGATTCATTTCATTCTTTGAAGCTCGAACTCTCCCCAAAGAAGTCAGGAGAGATTGTGTAAATTAGACTTTAACAGGCAACCTGTGAAATTGAAGAGTCTTTCACTCCATGTTGACCTTGGTGCAAAGCTATATAAAGAATGTAGCATGGAATTTAAAGTGTGAGAAACATACATTACTATTGGAGCCATAACTTAGTAGGTGTAAGACCTGGGTCTTCAAGTCTTTAATTCCTTATTAATAAAATTAGAAAATGAGGAAAATTAGAAGAAAAATATCTACTTCTTAAGGTTTTATTATTATTATTATTATTATATGTTTGCAGTGAATGTAAAGAACCTAGTCTAGTATCTGGCACATGGTAGATATTCAGTACTTACCGACTCCTTTAATCTATATTTATTCTAATTTCACAATCCCATGGTTATAATTATAATAAGTTATATTCAGGGTGCATTAAAGGAGAAAATCTATTTAAACACAATCTGGAATACCTATCTCAACAGAAGAAACATCGAAGGGCTAATGAGCTAATAAGCATGTCAGCCCCTTGTGAAATGTGCTAATAAAACCTCCTCACCCAAACTCATTTCATAAAACACTGAATTCAAGAATTTGTTTCTTATTTCAAGAAAACTTTCCTAAAGAAATTTTAAAAAGTAAAATAAAAGTTTCCCAGTTGAAATTGCTGCAGATGAAACTTTGTCAGAACCACTGTAAGCCCAGATATTTGGGTCACATGAAAGTATTGTGCCAATACTTAAAACGCATCATGTTCAAAATGCAGATAGTTCCAAGAAAACAGAGCATGTCAGTACGAGGATATTGGGAATGAGATCACAAGCAGGGGGAGTACATTTTATTTAACAGTAGAAAACTGGTTTACACATTTTATTGTAAAGTGTAAGGGGCTACTTAAGTCTACCTCAGAAAGGATTTTTTTTTTGGAGAGGTTTTTTTGTTTTTGTTTGTTTGTTTGTTCTTGCTATAGGGTATGTGAGCTCGCCAGACAGACAGAGAGAGACAGAGAGATAGAAAGCGAGAAATCACCCCCCAGGGGGGATGGTCACGCCACAATCCCTTCTCCTCCATTCTCCTCTCGGGATCTTGGGCACGCACGCACACGCGCCCGGCGTGAGATTTAAGCCACTGGGTACGGTACTCGAACCGCGGTCAACTACCTGGGAGCCCAGAGACATAGCCATTACGCTAACTGCTGGTCCCCCCCCCCACAGGATTATTTTGATAAATAGAAAGGAACTAAAACCTCTCACCTCCGATTGTGTAACTGATTTTCATGTAAATGAATGAAGCTGGTTTCTGCAGTGGCCAGAGTGGAGCAGCAGTTGAGAAAGTGGAAGCCCATTAGCTGTTGGGTGTGGAGTCACCAAACTGATGGTGCCAGATACCTGTAGAGGTGGAGTGTCAGCAAAATAATGATTAAAGGTCAGTTTAAGGAGCAATGGATGCTTTACACTTCTTCCTCGACAGCCACAGCAAGCTGACAATCCTCCTACAGTGACAGAAGAAAAAGAATTTGCTCTCTAAAAATTCTAATTTGGAGAGACTTCAAATGATGGAACATCAGAGAATGATGAGTACAAATTGTTTTACTGAATTCCTAAAGATTATGTAAGTCTTTGGATAACACCATGTGAAAGGGAATTCTCTCTGCCCTGCACTTGATAGCAAAGAAGAAAAGGGTGAAATCACAACTACCAAGAGCCAAAAACAAATCAAAATGTAATCAACACAGAAACAAAATAATAAGCCTCTGTATAATATGAAAAGATGGAGGACTCAGGCCGGAATTTAGCTTTATAGGCAATCTTTTCTTCCTTCCTTCTTTTCCTTATTTCTTTTACTAATAATTTGATAGACAAATGAGAAGGTAATATGATCTGAAATAAGACACCATTGCAGTTTTGTCTGAAATTTTAGGTGCTAGAGCAAATCTTGTACGTAGCTAGTAGGTGCTGAACCATCTAAACAAGACTTCAAAAGAAAGTAGACAGAAAACTAGTTCATTCTTAGAGATTTGAAATGCCAAGGAATTGTATTTTCAAAGAAGATCTCTGAGCATTTCACTCATGAGAAAGATGTAAGCTGTGAACCAGATCAAGAGAACAGCCATGTAAGACAAGAGTGGATGACCATAGACTCCAAAAGGTGTTTTCCAAAAAAAAAAAAAAGAAGTAGTAAAACTGATAAATTACTTTGTATTTTGATGTTTGGCCATATCAACAAGCATTTTAATTAGTTTTTACCTCCTCAAAATTAGCATCCCTGTTTAGAAGGATGAAAAAGGTGATATGCATGTATGGTACTGGAAAGTTTATACTGTTTACAAAGAAATGTTGAAAATTAGGACAGCAGATGGTGTAATGGTTATGACACTGGACTCCAACACAGCTGACCACTGTTTGAGTCCTGGACACAGAAGCTTGAATCTCACACACGGCATATATGTGTGCATGCCCAAATACGGTGAGGAGAATGGAGGAGAAGGGATTGTGGCATGGCCATCCCCTATGGGGGTGATTTCTCGCTTTCTGTCCGTCTGTCTGTCTCTCTCTATATCTCCAGTAAGTACATGTGCCCTATAGCAAAACTCTCTCTAAAAACAAACAAACAAAAATGTTGAAAGTCATTGACTGAAGAAGTATAAACTTAAAATTTATTTTATTTCCAAGAGATGGTGCCAAGATCCTTGAGAAATGCATTTCTGGGCTGTTGAAGATTTGTATCTCAAAGGATACAAAGAATACAGAGAAAGAATTTACAATTGTAATTTTTCTACAGCAGCTGGTCTAAGAAAAGGAATGTCAGAGACCCGTAGTCAAAATAAACCTGTCTACAACATGGTCAAGCGAAGGGGAATGTTAAGGTGCCTTGGACTCTGAGACTAGAAAGAGGAAGAACTCCCTAATTACTTCAGGCCTAATAGGATACCAAAATAGACAAAAATGGCACTAAAAAGGAAAATTATAGTCCAATATCATCATGAATATTAATACAAAACTCCTAAACAAAATATTAGCTAATGAGTCCAAACTAAATTTGAACCAATATCTTCATGTTGGTTTTATATTGGGAATATAAAATTGATTTTAGATTTTATAATTTATTAATATAGCTCAACATACACACTGATTAAAGAGGAAAATTCAGGGACCAGCAGTTAGCATAATGGCTATGTCACTGGACTCCCACATAGTTGACCGTGGTTTGTGTCCCGGACCCGGTGGCTTAAAACCCATGCCGGGAGCGTGTGCGTGCGTGCCCAAGATCCCGAGAGGAGAATGGGGGAGAAGGGATTGTGGCGTGGCCATCCCCTCTGGGGGATGATTTCTCGCTTTCTATCTCTCTGTCTCTCTCTGTCTGTCTGGCTAGCACACGTGCCATATAGTGAAAAACCTCTTAAAAAAAGGGGGGGGGAATTCACATTAAAATCTAAATAGCTGTTTAAAAGCATTTGATAGAATTCAACACCAATTCATAAATAAAAACTTTAAAACTTAGAAAATTATTGAAAGATAAGAATTGTTTTCTTTGGATAAAGGATACCTACAAATTCTTTAGCAAAATTATAATAATGTAAAACATTAAAAACATTCCTTTTAATAGCAAGCAGAAGACAAAGACACTTGCTGTTACAACTTCTATTTCATAACTTACTACGTATCCTTGCCAGCATGGTAAAAAAGAAAAGAAAAAAGATATAATTAAGGGGCATATGGCATGAAAAAAAAGTAAAAACAAAGATGTCATTACTTGTAGATGTTATTATGATTACTAACATAGAAAACCTAAGAGAATCTACAGGAAAATGATTAGAATTAATGAGAAGTCAACAAGGTATATAAGATCCATATAAAAAATAAATTGCATTTCTATACACCAGCAACACAGTAAATGTATTTTAGAATATATATTTATCATTGGTAGTAGCATCAAATATAAAAGAAACCTAAGATTAAGTATAAACAAAGATGCTCATGATTTTCATGGAGAAAATTATAAAACTTTATTGAAATACATTAAAGATGACCTACATAAAAAAGAAATATCATGTTCATTAATAGTTTCAATATCATAGAGATAGCAATTCTCATTAAAATAATCTATATGTTCAGTGAAAACTCAAAGACATCTGACAGGGATTTTAATGAAATCTGTCACGCTTATCCTAAAATTAATATAAGAAAACAAAAAGTTAAAAATAAAATGATATTTTGGAAGAACAGAATATAATTTGCTTTATATCTTAAAGACCTGTTTTAATGGAGAGAATGAGTATTGGTATAAGAACAGATTAATAACAAATTGAATTAAAAACTCACAAACTTATTCACCATATGAGGAAATTGGATATGTGAAATAAATAACATTGCAAGTCATTGGGAAAAGGATTCTGGAAAGTTATTCTGGACCAATATAATACACAGATGAAAAAAAAAATCTGATCCCCATTTTTTATCATATCCAGAATAAATTTAAAATAATTGTGTTAACTAAATGTGAGTCTTAGCATATAATATAAGGAAATATCCTTGAGATTCTTAGGTTGGGAAGAATTTATTAAATAAGACACAAAGTACAAAATATAAATATGTATATAATTAAAAATAAAATTAATTATTTTCATCTTCCAAATATACCATTTAACAAGTGAAAAAAGAAAACTAAGGATAAGAAGATATTTGCAAATCTAATTACTAAATGTCTAGAATTCAGAATGTATAAGGCATAACTACAGACCAATGAGAAAAAAAGACAAAAACAATTTTTAAATGTGACCAACAATTCACAGATGAGAACATCCTTGCAGCCAGTAATTATTTTAAAAGATTATCTTGGGACCAGCAGTTGGCATAATAGCTATGTTGCTGGACTCCCATGTAGTCAACCATGGTTCAAGTCCCTGACCTGATGGTTTAAACTCATGCCAGGTTCACGTGTGTGCGTGCCCAACATCATGAGAGGAGAATGGAGGAGAAGGGATTGCGGCGTGGCCATCCCCCCTGGGGGATGATGTCTTGCTCTCTGTCTCTCTATCTATCTCTGTCTCTCTGGTGAGCACATGCACCCTATAGCAAAAACCTCTCAAAAAAAAAAAAAAGATTATCTTAATGCACTTGATTTAACCATTCCACAATGAATATGTATGCTAAAATATCATATTGTATGCAATAAATAAAGTGATTTTATCTTCTCATTTAAAATAAATGAATGAATATAGAGAAAAGAAGCAAAGAAAAAATGTATATGCTCTACAACCTAGTAAATCTAAAGACCTAAAGAATCTTGCTTATGAGTTCAAAGACATGGCACAAGATTGTTTATTGCAACATCATTTGTAATAACAAAAAAGAAAAGAAAAAACTGAAAGCAACTTAAATAAATGTCTATCAACAGAAGTTTTGGATGCATTTTGTATGTTTGAAATACTATACAATAATAAAAATAAATTTATTACAGCTTACATTTCTGTATGATGAGAAACTAATTGAAAACCATATGATCCCATTGATGGAAAAGAGGGTCAAAAACAGTAAAAACAACACAATAACCAGAAACCTCTTTAGGAATACATATTTACATCCAAATGAGTAATAAAAAAATGTGCATAACAGGTGAAGATTAAAGGTAATAGGTACCCATAAATATGAGGCCAGCAGGTGGCATGGTGGGTAAGGCACTGGACTTCCACATGGCCATCTGCTGTTCAAGCCCCAGACTGTCAGCTTAAAAATCACACTGGACATGTGTGTAAGCATGCCCTAAATCACAAGGAAATGGAAGAGAAGGGACTGCGGTGTGGCTCTTCCTCCTATCAGGTGATTTCTCACTTTCCCTCTCTTGTCTCTATGGCAAGCACATGCATCCTACAGCAAAACTATAAAAAAAAAAAAAAAAAAGAAAAGAAAAGAAAATTAGGCACTGTGCAATTTGGGAAGAATTCGCATAGATTTCAATTGTAACAAAATACTGTATCATTTTATGATAAGTTATTCTATTTAAAATATTTTACAAATAAACCTGACTTGTTGGCCTGCATACGAAACACTTGCTTCAAATTCAAAAAGCATAATATTGCACCAGAATGGATATATAGGTAGATAAATAATAAAAACAATGGCAAAATCTACTGAATGGGTTACAAATGAAAACAAAAGAACTTAATTATATTAATAACTTTTTGTTGTTGTTGTTGGAGAGGTTTTTTGCTATAGGGTGCGTGCGCTCGCCAGACAGACAGAGAGAGACAGAGAGATAGAAAGCGAGAAATCACCTGCCAGGGGGAATGGTCACGCCGCAATCCCTTCTCCTCCATCCTCCTCTCGGGGTCTTGGGCACGCACGCTCACACGCCTGGCGTGAGTTTAAGCCACCCGAGTCCGGGACGCGAACCACGGTCGACTACGTGGGAGTCCAGCGACATAGCCATTACGCTAACTGCTGGTCCCATTATATTAATAACTTTACTACATGCAAATGGGGAATGAAAGAATTGACTCAAATAATTTTAGGACCTTTATATCTACA